GGCGGTGTGTGTTATATTTACAGCCAACAAATTTCGCACAGTGTATGTTCAAAAGTCGAAGAAAGAAATGAAAAAAATTTGCCACATTTAATGTTGCACATCCAAATCGGGCGTTACTTTCTGTGGCGACTGTACATGTATACGTAAAAATTAGGATCGACATTCTTACACAAAAACATTGATCACGTAATCAGTGTTGTACATTTCCAAATCTCCAAATTTCCAGGTGTCCAAACTCTTATACGTATTATTAAAATCAAATAAAAAATGTATGATTATATACAACGTGAAATTATCATTTTTAATTAGTGACCAAACAGGTTATTTTAATAAATAAAAAATATACAACGTGAAATTCACATTTTTAATTAGTGTCCAAACAAGTTAGTTTAAAAAAATTTTGAGTAAATTTAATTTTTTGTTAAAAATGTCAATATTATCCAAAGGCATATCCAAAGCTGTCCCGTGACAACACTGCATGTAATAATACATGTACATGTATTTTATATGAGACCATTCAACATTCATACGTAGTTAGTTACACGTAGATGGGAGTCGTGTTATGCGACAACATTGTTATTTAACCAACCAGATGGCCAAGTGACCACACTGAGTTAAGATTACTAGTTTTACTATGAATTGTTATAGTCATACAGCAAGGGACACCTGCTTTCAAAGTTTATTAGAACAGACCGATATAAGTCTGGTAATATAGATCAAAATATAATGTGAGCCAAATTTCTGATCGTAGTTATTGCAAAAAAGGAAATCCATAAATTCCTTGCTGCGTCACATATCGATGGCTTGTTGTGTGTTGAAGTCATTATATCGATTTATGCATAAAGATACAGTACGTTTACGCCTACGATAACATTATTTTGATAAGATATCCCACGTTATATTATATCTCCCCCTAATTTATATCCGGATATGTATTAATTAAAAATTGAATTATATTTAATGTAATTTACAGTCAAAGTTCTATATATATCGATAGATCGGTCCAAGCTCAAAAATTGCTATAATGAGCGCTAATAGAGAATAGTTATAAGCAAATACTTTTTATTAGTTGTGAACTTTTCAAAGTTCGCAATAAACAAATCTCGCTATACAAGAGGATATTTATATAGAGCTTTGACTGTATTCTCATTATTGTATTCACTTATCAATAATCCCATATCGGAGTGTATACAGATTCGGTTGCTGAGTATGTATGGTACGATTTCCAAGGATTTCATTAATCGAATGCTAACCTTTTTCTTAATAAAAGCCAAAAATAGAACACATGCTTGAAAATAGAGAGTTAAACGACGAAGAAATCGAGTATTCTAATAACGAAGAAAGCGATGACGAATTGGATTCAATTCATAAAAAATGTTTTGATTGTGGAAAATTTAGGACTAATTTTGCGTGGTGCCAACCATGTGAAACTACTTGGTTTAAGGAAAAATATCAAGGTTGGACAACAGGCAATTTGCAACTTGATTTAATTATACAAAAGTCAAGCAGAAGCGGCGATTATCTTGAATATATTGCTTACGATCAATTTGAACTGGTTGAATTCCACAAAGCTGGAGCATTTAGTGAAATCTATTATGCTATTTGGTTAGAGGGACCTAAGTGGGATTGGAACGAAAATACTCAAGCTTGGTCTCGGAGTGGACCAATAAAAGTAGCTCTGAAAAAATTTAAAATTCTCAAAACTTGAGCAAACAATTCTTGGAAAATGTAAATTCTATTTCTCATTTGATAAAAATAAATTTAAAAATTATTAACAAAACTTTTCCTTTTTTTATTAGTTACGAAAATATCATCATTATCTTCAATCCGGTAGTGTAGCTGTTACCTTTGGTATTTCAAAAGATTTTTCATATTTGTGATGAGATTTTATGAAAATGGAGATTTAAATCATTACATTAAAAATGTCAAAGATGTTAGCTGGAAAGATAAAATCGATTATTATGGAGGATTACCTCTAGTTTGGAAAATATTCATCGATCTAATCTATATCATGGAAATTTACACGGTGGAAATATAATGATTGAAGATGAATCAATCCCAGCTGGAAGAATAGTTCAATAAGTCCTGTTATTTTCTTTAATAATTATCTTATTTTTATTTTAGTTTCTTTAGTGAACTCCATTAATCATAAATCATTCAGTCTTTGTTCTTTCACTGTTATGTTACTTTGTTAATTCATTAATTCTAACAATTCTTGAATTAATGGGAACATTACCTTTGTTTCGACATAGATTTTCAAACTAATGTCTAGTGCACAACATCTAAACCCCATAATGATAACGATAACGATAACAAATTTAGAGCTCTATATAGTGCATAAAATCTAAAGGCATCAAATGTTTGGATTTTATAAAATGTATAACTTCTTTACTAAGAAGTAAATACAAAATTTAATCCGCGGATATGCTCAGAAAAAGCCTATTCTATCATATTCACGGATTAAATTTTGTATTTACTTCTTAGTAAAGAAGTTTATAAAATATAATCGTTTGATGACTTTAGATTTTATGCACCATAGTCTTCCGAATTTGGTTATTTGAAAAAACTAAGTACGTATCACTTTTTACATGTACATGTATTTGCATAATTGTTATCAATTACGTATGCACTTTATTGTCATGATTAATTTTGGCCAGTATCAACATAAGTCTAATAACGATGATTTATGCAATCTAAACAAAATGCTTATCGTTATCGTTATTGTTATGGGTGCCTTGATAATCTTTTAAGCAAGATTTCATGAATCATATTACAGTTACATGTACGTACGTGGTTTATAAAAAATTTCTTTTTATCGTTATGCAAACATTGAATGTGTACGTAATTGTACAACGATACTCGTTTACATTTATTGATTTAATGCGGTGTGGAAAAATAAAGATATGTAGTTTATTTTTGTAATACTCTTATTAATTAGGAGAAAAATCTTCAATACAAATTAATAACTGCAACACTTAATTGCATAGAATCTATGTCATAAAGCTTAATTTCTATTCTTAATTTCTATTGAAAGTTCAAATACTCATGTAAAATTATAAACTATATACATGTAAATGAATTGTCTCTGTTAAAGCATTAATTCGTTCTTCTAAATCACTTACACGCTTTTCTAAAGTGTCGGTATGTTTTTTACATGAATCGCAAGGTTCCGGCAAAGATGTTTTTATAGATGGGGGAGTGCTTGATAAAAGTGTGGAATTAGAAAATACGGGCAAAAAATCGAATGCAGTGTCTGAAAATTGATTATTTTCGCTTTGAGGATTAAAAATCGTATTATCAATAAAATCATAGGTTGGGAAAGATACAAAATTCTCTTCTAGCTTATTCTCGGAAACCTCAATCTCTTTGTTTGTTTGAGAATAATTTGAAGTATTTTGTTGTGAAATTTGCCAAGAATTCGGGTCATGTGCAAATTCACTATGTTGCTTAGACCAGAACGAATAAGAACCTTCTTTCTTTTTGTCTTGATCTTCTTCTATTTGTTGAATTAATTTCTGATCAAAACAAATTTGTGTGTATAAATTCTTCGCTTCGGCAGCAATCCTCTCGTATTCTCGACGAACATTTTCTGGTTCTTTTAACCAATAATCTTTAGCAATTAACGAAAGTTGTGGCTGTGTAATGACTGGATGCGCTATTTTTTGAAGTTCTCTACAAAATACTGTACGATACGCAATGAACGCGTTAGGAACTCTAGCTGTTTTTCCTGTTTTTTGAGTTTTCATTAGAGCGCGATCGAGTAAATTTATCGGTGAAATATCTGGGTACGGCATCTCTATTTCGATTTTTGGCAGATTCTTTGTCTTTATTTTTTTTGTCATTTCGTTCCGTAATATTAAATTAGCTATTTTCACTATAAGCAGACTTACATAAACTCAATGGAGGTTTTTCAAGTTTTCGTCTGTTTATTAAATACTTTTTGAAATATGCAACGCAGTGAATGCAGGAAAATAAGTCAGCATTATTATTATATTTATCAAATATAGAATGAATGGATTACATAATTTAAGGATTAATAATATTCTATTATGCGAGTTTACCCAAAATAACAAGTTTATGTGTGAATGCATTTTTCTTTATTACGCTGTAATTGAAGCAGACTTACAGTTTTTCAATAAGAAACTCCTTATGCGGTATTGAATACACCTATATATAGTTATGCAATTAACAAATGATACACAAATAATATATGGTGGTGTACTAACTCTTAATTCGACAAGTTAAGAACTCAATCAACTTCTTAACTAAGAATTAAATCCGAAACTAACCAGTAATATGACTTTCTTGTTGATATTACCGATTAAATTCTGAATTTACTTAAGAATTTTTAAAATGAAACATTGAAATAGTTCTATGCAGGCTATTCTTTGTATATACGCTCTTCAATACAATATAAAATAAACCCTGCATTTCTGACGAAAATATTCTCTTTTCACATTTAATTGTATTCTTAAATAAGCTTTCGAATTTTCCGACAAAATATTATATGAATGGTTTTTGTCACACTGATTAGGATAAAAGTTAACATACGTAGTGGTGGTGATTTTTAGCTTGTATGAATTCTTAATACGTACGTGATGGTTATTTTTATCAAATTACGTACATACGTACTATGTGTGCCAAGGAAAATTAAAACAACTATATTAAAATCCCAAAAATACGTGTTTTTTATCTATATCCATTCTTTTCTTTTTAAATGGTCTAGAAACTTTTTTTAAACAAAACCTTTGGATTGTATACTTGTATATAGTGATAGTATATAATAATTCAAAATTTTGTTACATTATCTCGTTTATGCGCTCATTTTTGTTTAATGCTCTACCGTAAAGCGCTCTGTATATTACCCCTCTTATTTAACCTCAAGACTATTAAACCAGTAACTAAATTTTTAAAAATCATAGTGAAATCGAAATTTAATTATTTGCCAAATAATAATTGGACTAAATTGTGGTTCAAATTTTTACAAAGGAGGATACTATACAGATCACTTTACGGTTCATTCATGCCTAAAATTGATGAAATACATCATCTTTTTCAATGAAATTACTTGTTTTATGCAATGCATGCGGATCACATTCTTAATGTTACGTAGTCGAAACTGCATTAAGTCGATCCTATCAATTATGAATTTCTGTATACATACACATAATATGTAAAAAAATTTTACCTACGTATAATGAGAGTCACTGCATAATTTAACTCATAACAAAAGCAAAAAGTATAAATCAAGTAAATTATATGCTTTCATTAATTACTTTCCTAAAAATAGCTATGCGCCTTTTGATACAATATAAAAATTTTACACGTTATTACAACATTGATTTTTTGTAAAAAAAAATATGACATATATATTACTATTTTTATGTGGTAATGATGTAATTTTGTTTATTGGCCAAAGTTGGTTCTTAGAAATGCTTAGTTTAATGATATTTTGATTCGTATAATACTTTATATTCACAAACAACAGCTATTTTATCGAATAACGTACACAGTTAACCTTGCTTTGTTAAACTGAAATATTCAGAAATTTATTATCAGGCAGGTTTGTTTGCTATAACTGTTCCTTAACCAACTTCGATTTACTGAAGTAAGTTTACTACAACTCCAAATTCGATTTATGTGGGCATTAATTACTGCTTCAGTTTAAAAAAATTGACTGTATACATACAAATTGCTAAGGGAAATTAAAAACAACGACAGCTTATGCTGATTTATTCAATTTCGATATGTAAATTAACTAAACATATTTTTAATTAATTCCCGAATTAAATTTGTTAAAGAATCTAATCGAGAACGTTTACAAAACTAGTTAAATATTTTCCAAGAATCTAATATTTTTTTTGTATATATACATCATATTTAATCCAAAATACATGTTTTTACGTAAATATATTTCTTTTTATGTAATATAAGGAAGTAAGATTTATCATATCGGCTAATTTAATTTTTTATATTATTCGAATTTTATAACATGTATTATAAATTGTAAACAATATAAAAAAAATCAAATCGGCTGATATGACTAACTTCAATTTTTTGAGATATGGAATAATTTCGCTATTTTTAGAAAACGTGATATTGCTTATGAATAGTTAGACTAAAATTGGAAAAAAATTGAATTTTATTTCCGGGTTTCAAAATTTGAAAAAAATCGGATTTTTATTTTACGATTCTTTTTATTATAAAATGACATTTACATTTTTATGTAATATCTCTGGAGCAAATGTTCCGATTCTAACAAAATTGGTAATATCTGAATTGTCTTGATGTGGTGAATCGAATGGCGATAAATTTATTTTAATTGGACAACTTTCCCGAGATATCGCGTAAAAATTTGAATGTTTTTTTATATGGTGCTGGAATCTAACTCAAAATTTTGTTTCAAATTGCTGTATGCAATGCAAAATATCATATCACATTAAATATTATAGTGCACCTGATATGCTTTTTACATTGCATGCGATAGGTCAGCTATTTGGAGCAACTATTGCTAAAATAAAAACAATAAGTGGAATGACTTGGCCATATTATCAATATTATTGTCATCTATTTCAAGTGGATAATATTAGTTTATAGAAAAATACTTATAACTAATTTTAAATGTTGTGCAGTAAATGTTAAAGCTCGGATCGGGTTTGACCCGAAAATCGTAAAATAGTTTTTCGTTAATAACGTTTATTTTTTACTAAGACACTTGTATCTTGCGTCCTAAGTAGAGTTGTTTGGAATGTAATTGTATATATCCACAAACCTTCGTTTAATTTCAATTAATATTGAACGAGAAACAACGATTTTTAGGCTGACCCGAAATATTTCGGGTCAGGTTTGACCCCGATCCGACCTGATCTGAAATGTGCATTCTGGGTCAGGTCACGGATTGGACCCGATCTGGTTAGAACACTAGTAAATTTACAAAATCCCATTGGAAGAAGAAATCAAAAAAGTAAACAGTAGTTTTTGACAAACTTGCTCTTGTCAGTTTGTATGAGATACCATTTTGAAGTACTGTAGTATGTTTAAAATGTTGATTACATGTCAATTGACCAATATAATATTTTTCACGTAGCAACCAATCAAATTGATGAAAATTGACGAATAAAATTATTTTTATGTAATAAAAATCGGTTCATTTTCAGATCAAACATAATAAAACTAGCTAATTTAAATACTTATAACTTTATACAGAACTTTTTTAAAATTCTGACCAGTAGTTTGAGAGAGCTTGTCTCAAAGAACAATATTACTAGTTTTTTTCTAAATTTTGTCTCTAAATTTCTGACAGATTTTTTTGAGTTTTGAGTTTAGATTTCTGACACCATATTACCATTTGATTGTTCATATCAAAAAGAATCAAATAATAGTAATTTGTTTGAATAAGCACACTAGTTCCTGAGTTTAAACCAGAATTCTTTTGTTATACAGTATATTTTGAAATAGATTGGTGTATATAAAAATATAAACTATTTGAATATTTATAATAAAATAATAAAATCATGCAACTTATTATCTGTTCAATATCCAAAATAATCAAAAAATAAATAAATTAAGTTAAATAAATTAATAAAAGATAAATAAAAAAATAGAAAATAAATTAAAAAGTTAAAAAAAAGTTAAAAAAAGTTCAAAATGGAATAAAGTTCAAAATACTCTGAAAATATCTTGAAACACTCTGTAAAATATCAAGAAATATACTTAAAAAATCAAAAAATTTTCTGGATAAAATCTGTAACAAATTATTCCAGAAATTTAATAAATAACAGAAAAGTTTTAAAGTTATTTAATAATAAAAAAACTAAAAATTTTCTTAATAAAATCAGACTTTAATTTTTATACATGTAAATACAGAGTCTATTATATAAAAATATATATATATAACAAATATAAACAAAATTCAAAATAAAATTTACTTTTAAGAAAACTAAAATTTTTCTTATAAGTTATTTGAAATCCAGAGAAAAATATATAAGTAATTGAAAAATTCTATTAATATTCTATTTAATTATTATTTATTTTTGCATTAAAATATAATTAAATATATTATACTAATATTTTATAGTATGATTAAAAGAACTTGAGTTAAATATTTATATAATATATTAATAATAGTGATATAAAAAATAATTTACAAAAAAGTAATATAAAATAAAAAAAAATTCAAAATTACTATATCTAGTTATTTTGAATATGGTGCATAAAATCTAAAGTCATCAAACGTTTGTATTTTACAAAATGTATAAACTTCTTTACTAAGAAGTA